TGTGATTGGATTTGGAGGTGGATACATAAGGAATTTTTTTTTTTGGTTCTAGGAATTGAACTCAAGGGCTCACACATGCTAGGCAAGCAGTTTACCACTAGCCACATCCCCATCCCAATAATTATGCTTCAATGAGGTTGTAAGGGCCCTGGTACCCTCATGATGGGATTAGTGCCCTTATAAGCACAGGAAAAGACATCTGTTTTCTCTTTCTCTCTCTCTGTCTCTCTCTGTCTCCCTCTTTCTGCCATGTGAGAACATAGAAGAAAGTGACCATCACAAGCCAGGGAGAACAGCCTCACCAGGGAGCCAATCTGCACACAACTTGATCTTGAACTTCCAGCCTCTAGAAATAAGTCAACGAGTTCGGTCCAGCGTCTTTTATTCATGTGAACTATGCCTTTCATCTTCAAACCAGTTTGAGAGGACCGACAGCCACCTGCAGCCTCTGGGAAAGCCCAGGTGCTGCACCTGTGTTTATTTTTGCAGCGAATACTTGCAAGGGCTGCAGCACCTCCTCCTCCCTGAAAGTTTTCCAATTGGGTTTTCTCCTAAGCAATACTGAACAGGAGGATAAATGTCAGCTCTGGATGTGAGAGGGCTTAGAAAAGAGCAGGAGGTGAGCTCACCACACCTCTAAATCTATGCTGCCACCTAGTGGATCCTGCCACGACCAGAAGGTGGGAGGTTTGGTAAGGACCAGAAACCTGGATGCAAATTCCCTAACAAACCCAAAAAGATGAAGCTAATGGTGTACAGCTGCGATGTAGTGAGGTATGCGGCTTATGTACGTGATCTCAGCTCACTGAGCAACAGCCCCAGGCAGGGGAATGATGTATTTTCCATATGAGAAGAAGTGTTTCAAGAAGTTAAGAATCTGTTTTATTAAAAGAACAAGATCATGAATAAATGAGTGAAGAGTGAAGGCTTCATTTATGTGCACTGTTTTCAGGGTTACTGACTCTCTGTGCTGGATTTACATAAACTCTGAGATGAGAAGACTCCTGGGGAGTTTTATGAATGGATAGATAGAATAGCTAACATTTATCCAATATTTGCTTTGGGTTATTCAGAGCGTTTCCCACACTTTTACTGACTAAAGCCCCATAGCAGTATGTGAAGTGGGGCGCTACTAATTTTTTCATTTGACACATGAGGAAAAAAGATGCAGGAAGGTAAGTAGTTTGCCCAAAGTCACCCAACTGCTGGAATTTCAACATGGGCAGCCAGACCTCAGGGCCAGCGATCTGAACCACTACATTTCATACCACACCCCAGGTAAGAAGGGCTATCTAAGGCCTGTCCCTGTGTCTCAGTAAAGAACCCGGGCATTCAGTCTCCCTGTTGTCATGAACAGACACTCCTGAGATGGTATTGCACCAGATCATTCTTTCTTGTGATTTAATGCAAATTGATGCTACAACAAGCTCGACAATCAGTCAGACTATAAGACCAGGAGCTCCATTTTCTTCTCAGGCTCAGCCATTCATGTGCTCAGTGCAAACCGCCCTGCTCAGGATGGTGGTGTTGATGACGACGTAGCCCTTCCCTAGGGAGATCACTGTGGAGTTAAGGAGATGACGTTATACTCCAGGCGGTAAGTGCCAGGAGAAGGGATGCTCGGCACACTGCGGGCGCTCCGAGACGGGACCTGTAACCTGGAGGCTGGGGAGAAGAACCAGGAGAGACTGGTGGCAGGAAATAACACCGGGGCTATTGGGCGGGGAGCCCTTTTCCATTTCTACTTCCTTCCAAGGACAGGTGGCTTCTTTAGTACAGCCACCCTGGCCGCTCTCTGCCTATTTATTTGTTCAGTGCCCAGTAACGGAGAGGGACTTCTGCGATTCACAATCAGGGTTGAGTAAATGGGGCAACCACAGCCACCTGGTGCCCTTCCTTCTCTTTAGAGAGACCTGCCTGCTCATAGCCATGTGCAGTGGGACGCGACCTCACCCCTATGAGCTCCCTAAGAGTTACGGTGTGAGTGAAAAAGGTGGGAGGGTGTGGCAAAAAGGGACAGGAGGCTTCCAGGTAAGAGGCAGTCCAAGCGAGGCCCAGGAGGGGGACGGGTGCTGTCATTGTCCACCGGGGCTCCTTTTGGAAAAAAACTGCTTCCACGCTCAAGTACTTCTGGGAAGCTACAACTACAGAGCCCCAAACACCCCATCCCCAGCCAAGGGCAGAGAAGGCAGTGTGGCCCAATTGTACGTTCTCCCCAAGAAGTGGCAGTGCAAGCTGCTTTGTACTGTAGCGGTCCCTCATCCTTTCCTACTCCGTGTTTGGGCAACCCTGACAAAGTGTGTCTCCCATGCTGTTCCCAGTGGCCTTCGGGAACCAAAACAGCCCCTAGCTTAGGCGATTCCCCAGATTCATGTTGCAGATTTTTCTGGATTTCTATCTAATCTCATTCCCTCTGGGTGCTGTGTGATCTCCAAGGAGTGGGATCAGCACATTCAAGGAGACGCTCCCCCAGCACCTGGAGGGAACGTGACCTGACGGAATGTGAGTTCCCTCTGAATAGGAATCCAGAATAGCATCCAGATGGGATTTCCATTTGTTCTGGAAAAGCTGACAATCACTTGATTCCCGTTCCACCAGCCCACTGTTGATAGGGAGCAGTTAGCTAGTGCCCTACTTTTGTAATCATGGCCTGGACCGGGCCGTCTGGACTCTGGAGAAGGAATGGGAAACAAACTGCTGTCTCCATGTGGGGTCTGGGCTGGGTTTTTCCCCATAACTTGTTTATTATTTGTTCTCATTAAGATTCTCTTACCCCACCAATGGTCTGACCAGCCTGAAGTTTTCTGGGGAAAAAGGGGGTTTCACCGGCGGCAACCAGCCTCGGGGATCTTGCCTGGGAGGGGAGGAGGACTTGGAATCTCTGTGCAGGGTAGGAGGACCCTGCTCGGAAGGCAGATTGCCAACTCTGGGGGACATCCCAGTCTTTATTTGGCCTGCATAGCGCTTTGGAAACGTGTGGACTCACTGCTAAGATTTAGAAACCAGGAGCTTTCACCTGATCCTGTACTGACTGACCCTCCTGCCTTGGCAACAACCAGCTGGAACCGGATGTCCACTGCCTCTGCAGTGGGGCGCGAGCTCTGCAGCGTGCCAGTCTCTGTGTGGTTTTGTGTGGTTCACACATTTAGGTGTGCTTTTCCGGCCTTGTAGGCACGCACATTTGCATCCTTAAGCTGAGGCTGCTCTATAAACTTTGGGTCATATGTGCACAACTTCCAGCATTCCTGGTCCACCTGTTACCCACCTACCATCATCTGCCGCCGCATACCACAGATGTAGCTTCTATTCGTACAGATGAAGAGTCTGTACTCGCCTCCTAAGCCAGTCTCTCTACTGTGACCTGCATCTCCCCTTGCTATGGTTTGAATACTTCTGTCCCCTTCCAAATTCATGCTGGGAAGTTCATCCTCAGTGCCACCGCGGTGGACAGCAAGGCCTCTGGGAAGCGTGTGGATCATGCGGGCTCTACACTCATGATGGAATGAACACAGCTATAAAAAGGGCATATGTAAAGAGGCTTCCTCTCCTCTCCTGTGCTTCTGCCACAGAAGGGCATGTTCCTGGGGCCCAGCACTCAAGGCAACATCTTGGGAACAGAGACACAAGGCTCCTTTTTTCCAGTGCTTTGACCGGGACTCCCCAGTCTCCAGAACTATGAGAAATCAACTTGGCTGCTTTATAAGTCTCCCAGCCTTGGCATTCCCCCAGAGCTGTATGAAACAGACTAAGGCAGCAGCCCTGTTACGGACTCCAGGGCACCTTGCCAGCAATTCCCGTTCTCTCTGTCACCACCACGTTCTCTCTCTCCTGGATCATTGCACAGACCACGAATAGGTAGTTACCCCTCCTATTTTAATAAAATGAGAGGGTTTTAATAAAACCCTCTCTTACTGGTCTCCCTCCAGCCCTGCCAGCTCCAGCTCTAGTTCTCTGCCCTCTTTCACAGCCAAATGCCTCGAAGGGATGATATGCACCCATCGCCTCCAATTCCTCTCTTCCCATTTTCTCTGAAAACTACGCCACTCAGGTGTTAACCCTATCACTCAAGCAAAACTGCTCTTGACACAATCACCAATACTAAATTCATGTCGCTGAATCCCAGACTCACTGGCCTGCCAGGGCTCTTCTCTCCTCCCTGGTCACTTTCTTTACTTGATGTCTAAGACCCCTAACTCACCGGCACCCAGCTCACCTAATTCTCTTTGGAGAGTCCTCCCCTGCTCCCCCAAACTCTTGAGCATCTCCAGGTTCAACACAGGCTGAATATTCCTTATCCAAAATTGAGAAATGTTCTGAATTAGGAAATTTTTTCAAGTTTTGCAATACTATATATAAGTAATATACATAATGGGACCTGAGTCTAAACATGACATTCATTGATGTTTTGTTCATCATATATATATATATATATATATATATATATATCCCTGCAATTTTATATATACATTATATATATATATATATATCCCTGCAATTTTAATACAATATTTTAAATAATTTGGTGCACAAAACAAAGTTCCATGGTGTAGAATTTTCCACTTGTGGTGGGAATGTTGGTGCTCACACGGTTTTACATTTTGAGTTTTGTTTTCTGTGTTCAGGATGCTTTACCTGTAAACGGTTCTCTTTCCCCTTGTCATCACCCGGATGCTTTCATTCAGTCTCACCCTTTAAATACATCCACAGGTCAGCAGCTCCCTAACGTTATACCTCAGTCCAGAATTTCCCTCAGCTCCGGGCTCATATACCCTTGGCTGCACGGCTTCTCTACCACAAGCCGGGCTAAATTGATCTTCCCACACCCCATTCCCTTGGTTTCTCCCAGGTCCTTCCTATACACCCATCATTCTGGTGTTCATGCTGTGGCAGCTTGGGGCTCCCCTCCTCTGCAACCAGGAGACCCTGAGGGCCAGCCCAGCAGCAGCGTCCAGACCCCACAAGGGAGTTCCCCCAGCAGCAGCAGCAGAGGAGACAGACCATGCGATTGACCACACATGTGGCTACTCTATGTGGAGTACATGCTGGGAGCAATAACAGCAGTAAATACAGAACAGAAAATAACCATCTTCGAAATGACAAGGAATGGGACACGTTATCTAAGCACTAAAACCTAAGGAGGGGACTGCCCGACGCTGGAGAGCAGCTCCTCAGGACAGCAAGGCCGACTGCTTTCCGGGTTGCCTGGACTTCAGTCCTCGTAACTTCTCATCTTTCAGCGCCTTCAGAAATTTATCTGCAGGAGAGAAAACACACTTAGTGGTAGTAGAAAAAGGAGTTTAAAAAAAAATGCTTGATGAACAAGTTTCTGGGAAAGCTGTTTCCTACATAAGCCTAAAACCCATTTGTGATCCGAGATGGGAAGGGAAGAAAAATCCTAGCAGACAAAGCACATCTAATGCTGAGAACAGATTCAAGAAATCCAGGACTTAGGAAAGCCCAGGTTTCCCGGGGAATTGTTTTCCTTTCATGGCTATGAGAAAAGGTATGTTGCAGCATGTTTGATGAATTGGGGACCATGCTAGACGTGCAGGTTATTTCACACTTTTTCTTTTTGTGCCGCATGGGCTCTAATTTAACCTGCTGTAAATGCTAGGCAGGAGGTTAGACATTAGTGAGCCTGCTGGACAAAAGAGTGTATGTGTCCAAAATAGCATGCTTTGCCAGTTATGCGGTTAAGAAACAAACTTCAGTGTATAATATATTTATAATAATTTGTTAGGTTTGGGGCCTAAAGTGATCCCACAAAACACAATGGCATTTTAAGCTCATATATTGTACACATGCCACCTGGCTGTACCTCAGTTCATGAACTCATTTCTTTCTGAACTGGATGAGAATCAAATCAAATTTCCCCACAAGGTCAACATGGAACCTAACCATTAAGTTTGATGTGGTTCTCATCCAACTCAGTTTGGGATCAGAATTGTTGGAAGAATCAAGTTTGTGAACTGAAGTATCCCTGTATTTCCAAAACCGGGCAGCCAACACTCCTGGGTGCTATGGCCTATGCTCAAGGATATAAAGAGGAGCACTCATGAAAGACCCTCCTTTCTTGGGCTGGTCCAGTTCCTACACTGACCACCTGAAAGGAACAAGAAAGACATTTTTGAGATATCAACCAAAGTAACTCTTAAGAGAAATGGTGATAGGAATATACATTATGTAAACAAAAGGGATAATCATCACACTTCCCAGACCCTCAGGAGTAACTTTCGGGTGGATAAAAAGGAGTACAAATTCCCATTTGAGGCAGATGTCTTTGTGACACCTCAGGCCTTCTCTCTTGAAGGTCTAACTCTCTAGATATCCATCTACTCTTCTCTGCACCAGGACCTGACTTCCCAGTGACAGTATACAATAGTTGGAATGGTCTTTCTAGAATGATCTGGCCTCCTCCAAAGGTCGAGTGCAAGCCTTAAGCAGACAGGTAATGGGAAAGGACAGCTCATGCTCCTGAAGGCTGAGCAATAGGTCTTTCTGGGGGTACAAATAGACTTACCCACCTTACTCTCCAGGAGGAATCAGCCCATACACTAGAAGATCCCTACCCACATTAGTACACGTGGTCTGGCCTGGTTCAGATTCCTAAGACTTCAGCCCTATGCTCAGATGACAGAGTATAGGACCCCAGTGTGGAGCTACAGGGTCCCAGAGAGGCTACCCTCCAGCCTCCAGCACTGAGAAATGCAGGTCCCAAAGCCTCTTTGTGAGTGTCGTTGGGCTTTCTGGGGCCTGCACAATTCCAACTCCCCTTACAGGCATTCCAGCTGACCCTCACCTACTTCCCCTTCCTCCCACCTGACGGCCCCACTTAAGACTGAACAGGAAAGCTTCAAGGTCTCTAGAGATAAAGGCTGTCTCTGGGGGTTGGAAGTCCAGACCACAGAGGCCTGAATATTATTGTGCAGAGTTAAATGTCAAGACGAGGTAGCGATCGGTGGCGATCTAGGTGTGGGGCCGAGTCCAGATTACCGAAATTGCCTAGGATGGAGTCTGACGCTAAAGGGTTCTTGCAGTGCAGACGTGTGGTAGAGGACGAAGTCCGTTGAAACCCGGGATGGGGGCGGAGTCTGAGCTCTAGGGGATAGGTTTTGGATCAGGGGCTCCTGAGGGCTGAAGTGTGAGCCTACAGCCACCTTGTAGGGCCAACCAGGGAGGCAGGGCAGCTAGGGGTGGGCTCGGGTGGCCCCGGCGAAGTCACGCACAGCGCTGGGAGTCGAAGCCGTCCCCAGTGATGGCGAGCAACTCCACTTCCTTAATCCGGATCTCCAGCTCGCATAACTCTTCGGGGTGGGGGGCAGAGGCGAGCGGGACGATCGTGGGGCTGGGAGTCGGGGGCGAGGCAGCCACCTCCGGGCCCGGCGGCGGCGAGTAGAAGCGCAGAGGCTCGTAAGGGATGGAGGCCAGGCCGGAGGGCCAGGGCTGGGGACAGGGGCGCTCGCTGGGGGGACCCAGGCCGGGCGGCGGCGGAGGCGCCGGGGAGAAGGGCGCCTGGGGCAGGGGTCGGCCCCCAGCCTCCCCGCCCGCCGGCGCCCCGCCCGCCTTCAGCGGCACGAAGAGCTTCTTCCAGATGTTAAAGTCGTTGAGCGGAGACGAGGAGATGCCGCGGTCGTAGAGCGACGGAAAGTAGAGGGGCGGCGCCGGCCGCTGGCTCATCGTGGGGCTCCGGCTGCCTCGCCGCCCCTTCGGCATCTTTTGAATGAGTGCGTGGGAGGAACCCCGCGCCGGGACACACGCGCCGCAGCCCCGAGTCACTGAGGTCTCACGTTCCAAGGGCCGGACTCCGCGGCCCCAAGCTTTGGCCCCATTCGGGGCGGGGCACTGAGGCCAGGAGGCCACGCCCCAGAACGTGATCTGTCCAATGAAAACAAAGCATCGCTCCTGCCGCGGGAAGGCCATTCCTTAGGCTTCTCTCTTCCCACTTGGCTGAAGATGTGGGAACCCCTTGCCCCACCCTCTGCCCCGCCCCTCGGCTCCTCCCACCGCCCTTTGAGGCCGTAAGCCTCCTGCTGTCACCTGCTAAACCTTCACTCAAAAGCAGGAAGTAAGGATCTGGCCAAGAATTCCTCTCCCTTTGTGAGGAAGGGAGCATATTTCCTAACCTACTCCCCAACCATCGGCTCGCTTCTCTCCTGGCTGCAATGACCACCCAGAAGAAATGAGTGGCTGATTTTTCCTTCCCTGTAGTAGGAGGCAAGGAGAAGAGGATTGGTTGGAAATGGCTGGTAGAGCCAATCTATGTTTCTGCCAAATTTAGCGGTAGTGTGGAAGATCCAGAAAACTGGGAACTTGATCTGGACTTGTAATGGTCCTGAAGCAAAGAATGTTTTCAGTGAAGTGTAGTTCTCTCTCAAACACGTATGTTATCTGGAGCTGACAGCAACACATTAACCGCCAAAAGGAATTCTTCCTGGGCCCACCTCAAACGGCTCACATTTTGTTCGTGAGCACCCAGTAGCTGTGTCCAAGGGACGTCTCCTGCTCATCTATGCATAGCCTGTGAGAATCAGCCTTGGATTGAGAGGAAGTCATGATCACTGTGTCATACACAAGGATGGGAGGGGTCAGTTATGATCAGAGACAGCCCTAGCTCCACAAGTATGTGTGCCTTAGTTACGTTCTCATTGCTGGGACAAAATACCCGACACCCACAAATTAAAGGAAGAAAGGTTTATTTCAGCTCAGTTTGTAGAGATTTCAGTCCATAGTTGGCTGGTTCCAAAACAGGATAGCATAGCAGAGGAGAAATAATCCATGGCAGGGCAGGCAGAAGGCAGCCAGCAGCCAGCCTTCCTCTTCTTTTAACCCTATCCAGGGTACTCACTTTTTGGGTAGTGCCACTCACACTTAAGGCGTGGGCCTTTCCATTATCTACACCAAGAACTATTTTAAACCAATCAGTAGACTAACCCACTAATACCACAGGTATCACATATTCACTCCAAAAAGCTCCCCACCTAAGTGCATGAGGCTTTGGGGGACATTTTAGAATAAATATATATAGGAAAAAGTATGCATATACACATATTTTATATACATGTTCATGTGTGCATATGTGTAACAGCAAAGTCAGGATATCCAAGCTGCGTAACTTTAAGCAAGTTGCCTGACTTCTGAGTCAGCTTTCTATATAATAGAAATTTTAAAATCAGGCAGCCTCACAGGGTTGTTTAGGATTCTCAAGCAGAGGCAGAAGAGTGTGTATGAGACATTTGAAAACTTGGAAGTTGTCCAAATGTAAGGGGCAGTGTTCCTGCTGAGGACTTATCTGAAACTTCACATTTATCTGTAATTCTTTTTTTTTTTTTTTTTTTTTTTTTTTTTTTGGTTTTTCTCCGGTACTGGGAACCGAACTCACGACCTTGCGCTTGCCAGGCAGGCGCTTTGCCGCTGAGCTAAATCCCCAGCCCCTATCTGTAATTCTTGAAAGCAAGACTCCAGGCCAAGGGTCCTATATTACTGAGCATATAATAAGGCTGGATAATGATTTTGGGAACTTTTAAAATAGTGTCATGTGTGAGGGAGACCAAAGGAGATCAGAATATACTACCCTAAAATATGCCACTTTTGACATCAGAATTTTTTTTGAAAGCAGTTGGAAAACAGACACAAAAAGAACTCTCTGTTCTCCCCTTTCTGCCTCAAAGGAGCATATAAATTTTCTCTGTAAGGGTAACATCAATTTTCCTTTGTGAAGCCGTCCCCCCTCATCTGTCTCATGCAGGAAAAGGAGAGGGCTCATCACTGGAGGTGACACTGACTTGAGTTGACGTAACAAACCTTACTAAATAGCCTCCACCTTCCATTAATTTCACCATTTTTTGCTATTCCCATAGTCCATTGCCCCTAGAAACCCAAATCATTTTCCTTTGCTTTGTCACTTTTCTGTATGTATCGCCCTTTGTTAAAATGGTATATAAACTCTCAAGCATAAGCACTTCTTTGGGTTATCACTTCCTTTCTGTGAGGCTCCCATGTGCATGAGTAGTAAACCTTTCCTTCTGTTAATCTGTCTTTGTCAATTTAATTCATAGGTTCTGGCTATGGGAACTAAAAGTGTAGAGAAAAAACTTTTTTTTTTTATCCTTGTGGAATTGAAGTGGTGGTAAGAGTGTTATGGTTTGTGTCTGGATGCCCTCGCAAAAGCCTCATGCAGTCTTGTGGCAGGCTTCTAGGGTTTATGATTGATTCGTGGCCCAATGCTGTGATTATGGGTGTGAGTGCTACACCTGTGCTGGGGTGAGTAGTTTGCATACAACGTAAGGGAGGGACAGAGGCTTACTCTCTGCACTCCTCCACAGAGGATATCACATCAGAAATAATCTCTCAGGTTAAAAAAAAAAAAATGACAACAATACTGAAAGAATTGCTCAGCACGTCTAAAGGAGACAGACATAAAAATAGAGGAGTACAGAAAAATGATGGAAACCTTGAATGAACAATATGGGAAAGAATTAGAAAACATGAAACAGATTCAAACAGATAAACAGGAAATTAAAAATTCCATCAAAAGCTGGCAAAACTGCTTGAATGAAGCTGAAGATAGACTTTTAGACCTTGAGGACAGCATTGCAGCTAATGATCATGAAAGGTCTCTTAAAAATAACAAGGAACCAGGAAATAACAATTCAACAGCTGCAAGATGATGCAAAGAAAAGCAGTGTAAAATTAACAGGTGTCAGTGAAATAGGAGGCATCAACACAAATGACATAAAAAGACTATTTGCAGAAGTAATAGCAGAAAATTTCCCAAGCATGAGAAAGAATCTGACCAACACTGAGGCATATAGAACTCCAATTAGCCATAACCAAAATAAATCTACACTCAATTAATAATCAAGATCCCAGAAATTTAGCAAAAGAACAGAATATTAAAAGCTGTTAAGAAACAGATCACCTATAAAGAAAAGCATTCCCAACAGGCAGGCTGGCTCTGGGGCCAACCTCTTTGTCACTCTTCCACACCACTTCCCACTGTCTGTCCCCAGGCTCAGGGCAAAACCACCTTTATGGTTTTCCTGGCTCTTGCTGGAAGCTGTTTGTGCCACAATTTAAGAGACAAGCTATTCTAAGAAATTCATAACAGTCTTTTCTTTATTACTCATCTGAACTAACCGTTGTGTTGGTCAGCACTTGAGGGCTTAGATATTTCCATCTCCCTTCATAATGCTATTTCAAGAAAGTTTCCAACAAGTGCAATCCAGCTCTTATTCTTTTTTTACCCCAGGGTAGATGTGTTCCAGTGTGCTTACAGAATAAGAAAATCTTGATGGGATGGGGGTTGTTTTTGATAAACTGAAGCCTGAGAGGTAGTTTAGTGGAGTTGGGTGTGCAGGGGCCTGGAAGATGAGAGACCCTGGCAAAGGTCTAAGCCTTATCAACCAGCATCAACTAGATGTGCTACCCTGCACTGACTTGCCTTGCACTGACTGTTAGGTATTTTCACATCATCCTGCTGGAAGCATTTACAGGGTAAGGTTGTCAGAATTTTCTATCTGTGCACTGGGCACAGATTTTTATCAGAGTGCTATGAGGTAACTCACAATATCACAAGCTTAAGACCTAGATTTAGGAGGTGTGGACAGAGAGCAGGACGACCTCAGGGATACAGGTACAGGAAGGAGTCAGTGGACTCCTCAGTATGGCTGGTGTGGTGTGGCAGAAGCTGATGGCTGCCATCTCACTGTTGTCAACATTTTCTCCTTGCACACTTTGCCCCAAGAGGCCAGAAAAAGTAAATGCTCACCTTTCCCAGCCGCTGTCCACAAGAAGTGGCCACAAAACAGGTCCAGCCAGAGGATTTGACCAGAGAGAGTTTGGGATTTTCTGGGAAAGATTTTACTTTGCTAGTAAAAGTGACAGAAACAACTGAAGTCTTCCCTTCATTTTCTCTCTCTGCCTTAAACCTGGATGCAATGAGGGAGCTTCAGCAGTGACTTTGTGTTTATGCAGTTGAGACTAAGAGTACCACCTAAACACCAAATCAGATACTGAACAACTGAACTAATGCTCACAGCTGCTTTTCTCTGGATTGCTTATGCAAAGATATCAGATTCTATTCTCCGACACTACTCTAAGTGGGGCTCTCTGTGGTTTAAAGCCAAATACCTTCTTAAGACAGATTTTCAATTAAAAAGTGTTTTTTTCAGTCTTTCATAACTTCACTCAGGTCAAATTCCTAGACAAAACATGCCCATCCTTTGGCTAGAGAAGGTAGGCTGTTTTTATTAATAATCCTCCTGAGGCTAAACTTAATGGATAGCTGTAACTCCCCCAAAGGTAACTATGGTTCTGTTACCAGAAAAGAGGAGAACAGTGGCTAAAATCCACACGTTCATTATAGTAAATGGCATCACACCTACTATACCTGACAATGACACAGAGGTTTTCTTACACATTTCTTACCTGCTCAGGGGAAATGGTGGCTTAGTTCTTGGTCTTCAGTTAACCTTTCTGATCACTATTTTTCTTGGTCAGGGACTTTTGATTACATAGAAAAGGGAAACAGGAAATTTCTCAAACTACCTCAAGAAACAGAAAAGGGCAGAGGAGGTTATAATAAGGTTAGACTTTACTGAATTCAAGAGCAGAGATGTTCAGGCCCTGTGTTCCCATTCACTAAAATAGGATGGCACCTGTAACCTATAAACACTCTGAGGGATTTGGGTATAGATTACACTATTCATATTGGAAACCGAGAAAATTAAGTGAACTGGTAACCAGTACTTAGACTAGTGCCTGGCACAAAACAGGCCCTCAAGTTGTGACCACTATACTCAGTGAAATGCTATTTTGAGCTGCGCGTGGTAGCACACATCTGCAATCCCAGCACTCGGGAGTCTAATGCAGGAGGATCAATGCAAGTTTGAGGCCAGCCTGAGCTACCTGGTGAGTTCAAGACCAGCCAGAGCTATACAGCGAGATGCTGTGTAAAAAAACCAAAGCAAAACAAAATCTAAAAACAAAAAACAAAAAACCAGCATGACCATGGATCTATAATCATATCTAGGATTGACATGCTGGGGCTGGTTAACCTATGCAAACAAGAACAGCAAGGGTGAGCACAGCAATATCCCTGGGGAGCCCATCACAGAAAGGAAGGGTCCCGGTGCCCAGACAAGAAACCCTAAGTTTCTTGGCTTGGTGTTCTTGTCTTCTGCAGAGTGCATGCTGTCACTCCCCTCTGGAGAAAAAGAGAACCTCCTTACCTCCAATGGATTGTCACAGGCCCGCACCTAGAAATTAAAGCACTCAGAGCCATCACTTTTCATATCTCAAATAATATATGCCTGAACAAGAAGTTTTAGTTCTGATAAAAAAGATTTCTATCACAAGATCCTTTGTTGAACACTAGAAATAATTTGAAAAGAAGAGCCCTGCTCTACTTATGTCATCCAGTGGGAAAAAACAGTGGGGTCTGCTACCTCAGACTCCTGTCGCTTTAACAACCACATCGTGTTAGTCAGCTTTCTGTCTCTGTGATGCTGGGATCAAGGATGTGTGATTAGTAAATTAGTCCACTGATTGGTCTGGCATAGTTCTGGGTGTGGGTAATGGGAAGGCCCTCCCTGGATGTGAATGCTATGCACCCTAAGGATATGTAGCTGGATAAAATACGAAGGACAGAAAGAGGACTGCTGTCATCACTTGCGGCTTCTTTGCTTCTTCACTGCCTTCTGCGCATGAACTGTTTCTCCTCTGGATGCCACCCCGCCTTGGAGCCAGCTGACTATGGACTGAACCCTCTACAAACTGTGAGCTAAATAAACCTTTCCTCCTTTAACTTTGTGTGTCAGGTATTTTGTCTCAGCAATGGGAAAAGTAACTAAGACACAGCATAATGTTCTCGCATGTACTCTGTACTCTCCAAATTGGTACAGCTCAAGATTTCTTTTTTCTGTTGCTACCATTGAGTATGCACTACTATCTTTCTGGACCAATAACCACACTCAGCCATTTGATTAGATTTTATGTCCAGAGAACTGTCATTATTGCATTGTTATCTAAAAGATTATATAAGGCATTTATCTAACAGAGCATATAACCCAGAATTATTTTTTCTTAAAATTCAGTTTAGCAAGAAATTCTTCCTTTATTTGCAAAATCCAGCTATGCTGTTAAAAGCAGAACAAATCACAGGAATGTAAATGTCGTTAAGTCTCCTGGATACTGACAAAAATCAATGTCTGAAAACTTTGCCCTCCTAAAAGGGGTATAGTATTTTATTTTTCAGAAAAACAGCTTCCAAAAGCTTGAATAGTTGTGACTAGGATAATACCCTTATGGACACATTTCATATAATCTTGGCTGAATTAGCTAAGAGCCAACAAGCTGAATGCAGTCAAGTAAAATATGTTTGCAGATGTGTCGCTATTAACGAAGACATTTGGAGTCTAAATGGCATCCCTGAAGGCTCTTCCCACTGTGTGCATTCTATACACACATGAAGGGTCTCCCTACAAGTAACATTTAAAATAAGTACACTCAATACTTCCTCTCACGTGGCACAGAACATTCTTTAATTATGTATGGCAAAATCAAGATATCAAGGTAATCCCACTTTTCCAGGAAAAAGGAGGTAGAAATACTTTTAATACACTTATTTTAGGGGATCAAATTTTTCTACTGAAAGGTAGCAAAGTCCTTTCTTTCTCTTCCTCCATTCCTTCCATCCTTCCTTTTCTCTCTCCCCTTCCTTTCCTTTCCTTTTTTCTTTTTTCTTTCTTTCCTTTCCTTTCCCTTTTTCTTTTCTTTTCTTTCTTTCCTTCCTTCCTTCCTTTTCTTTTTTCTTCTTTCTTTTTTCTTTTCTTTCCTTTCATTCTTTCTTTCTTCTTTCTTTTTCTTTCTTTCTTTCTTTCTTTCTTTCTTTTGTTCTTCTTTCTTTCCCTTTCTTTCTTTCTTTCTTTCCTGTCTTTCTCTTTCTCTCTTTTCCTTTGTGGTGCCGGCAACCAAACCCAGGGCCTTGCACATCGTCCATACAAAATTTAGAGACATAGGTAATAGTTAAATTCTAGCTACTCTAAAGCCAGCCCTCACATTGCCATGGCCTGCCATCAGGAAAGCCTACCCCTTCCCTGCACACATCCTCTAACTGAGACAGAACAGTGATCCCAGTCACTCTGCATTAAGAATATGACTGCTCCAGCTGGGATGTGGCTCAATGGTAAAGCACTTGTCTAGCATGCATGAGCTGTGGCTTCCATCGCCTGCACTGGAAAAAAAAAAAAGATTTCTCCTGACTGACAGCCCACGTCTAGAACACCACATGTGCCTATCCACAAGCAGAAGCCAGGAAGTTTATGAAAGTGTTCCATGTGACAGAGAATGTTGAAAAACAATCCCATTGGCACTTCCCTTCCCCAGGTACTGGTCATACTAGTTAACTCCATCCAAGGGACTAGAGGGAAATACCTGCAGATTTCCAAGAACCCACTTAAGCTGCCACGGCAAAATTGGTCCTCCAAAGCTCAGAGGAAGAAATATGTGACCTATTAGTTGCACACACTTCTCCCTTCAAACTCTCTCTCAAGGATCCGTCTTTGTGGACAGCACTGGGCTTTCTCCTGTCTCATCCATGGTGTTCAAGTTTATTTTATTCTTACCCAACAGGTTTCAGTTGGAAAACAATAAAAGCTTGGGAGAACAGCAGCAAGGAAATGGGAAAACAAGAGTAGAACTTCAGCAAATCCTTCTTTAGGAGCAAAGGTACCAGACTGCTGCCAGAAATGGGGCCACCAGCAGCACTGTCATGCCTGACAAGGCAGCTGTGCCACTGTCATCCTCGATAATTTTGTTACACTTATCTTCACTGCAACATCTGAAGGTCATCTCAGGCACATCTAATCTCTCTGTGAAGAAATCCTGGTTGCAGGAAACTGCCCTCCAGCATCCACGATAAAACCGTTTCGCTGTGGGAAGACACGTAGGGCAAGAAGTCAACTAGGTAAAATTCTATTTCTGCTACTGAATCTTTCATTCTACTTCTTGGAACTAAGAAACACAGAGATCTAAGCAAGCATACTCACCCTGGCTGGGTTGTGGAGGGAAACAATGAGGTAAATGACAATACATCTCACCAGAGGACTTGTCCACAAAAGTCTAGGTGTGGTGGTACACATCTGGAATCCCAGCATTCTAGGAAGCTGAAGGAAGAGGATCACAAATTCTAGCCCAGCCTGCCACTTGGCAACTTAGTGAGATGGTCTCAAAAAATAAAACTAAAAAATGGCTAGAGATTGGAGCTCAATGTGAAGGCCCTGAGTTTAATCCCCAGTACCAAAACCAAAATAATAATAATAATAACAAAATAAAAACACAAGTAAAGTATTATAAGAGCTAGTATAGCTTTTTTTTTTTTCTTTTTGGGATGAGGGCAGGGAGGCAGGAGAGGTGACAAGTACTTATACTATTATTTAAGAGGGAAATGGGGTATCGTGTACCTGTTTTAAAAACATACTCCTTTTGATCCAGCAATTTTATTTTTAGAGTTTACCCTATGAAGACATTTGTTAAAAAGGTTATGCTCAAGAATGATTATTATAGTAATAGTTATCTAGCAGGAAGCTGTTCATTAAGAGGTGAATAAATTATGGAGAGATTCCATATAATGGAGTTCCGTGCAGCTGAGGAATGACTTGGGCCTGTATGTTCTGGCACAGAAAGAGCATCAATTAAAAAAAAACCAAAAAACTAAAACAAAACCGAATCCTTCTTCCCTGTCTAGTTTCTTGAACTTGACTCCTGATAAAAGCTGGTGTCACCCGGTCTCCTTCCAGCCAGCATCATGAGTATCTACAGACGCAAAGAGATAGTCTCTGAAATTTACGAGATCCGGAGAACCAAGATGGGCTGTGCCCACAGGTGGAGGGGAAGATGAGCAGTAGCAGATGTTGTGCTCATTGGAAGAAACGTCTCTGCTGTCAGCTCCAAAGGTGAAGGCAGGCCCAGCAATCACTGGTGTCATGAGCCATCACTTAGAGGGAACCAGTTTTTCAGAAGAAGCCTCCAAGAAAGTGTATCAAAGGTTATCTGAAATCTATCATGGGTAAATTTGAAGTACAGAGTGGGGAAAAAACAAAACGTTTTATGACAGAGCCTATGGAATCTAGCATATGCTTCCTAATTTCAAAAAAAAAACAAAAACCTACAAGTTCTTCACAGGTGAACACATGAATTTAGACAGCATGGTTACTATATCAGTCAGTGCTCACTAGAGAAACAGATGTAATACAAGATATACAAGTATATAAGAATTTGCAACATTGGGTTACAGTGTTGTAATTTGCAACATTGGGCCCACAGAGTCAGGTGTGAAAAAGTGCAAAAGGGCACTGGGGATCGGAATGATCCCAGCGAAGGCCTAGAGTTCACTGTAGTGTTCGGTGCAAGTCTGTATCAAGAGGCCAAAGTATGTGTGATGGAAGGCAGAAAGGTCTGTGCTGGATGCTGAAGCGTCTGCACGGGAAACCAGGAGACAATGTCCAAGGTGCAGCTGAGGACTGGAGCTCTCCATAAAAAGAGAAGTGAGCCTTCCTTCTTCGTTTCCCTTTTATACCATTCATGATTCTATACAGAGTGAATCTTTTGTCTTCAGTAAATCCCCTCAATCACACCCAAAACTATGCTGATCCAATTTAGTTGGATGTTTCTTACCCAAGCTGACACAGTCAGTTAACTACCACAATTGCTCTTCTGGGCTATCACGAGAACGGGATACAGTTTCACTAGACAAGATAGTAAAATTTCACCAATGGCTGTTCCATTACATATTGTTGTCTTCAAATCACTTGCTCAGATTACCAGATATAAGCATGAAAATTGGTCAAAATAAAAAAAATTTAAGCATTAACTGTTCCTTTCAATAAACCACCAGACATCAGCAGCACGGTTATCCCACCTATCTGTCTTTTTTTGCCTTCCTTCTTTCTTTCTTTTTCTTCTTTCCTTCTTTTTCTTCTTTCCCTCATCCCAGTTGTTTCTCCCTTTGAGCAATTTCTTTCCCTTTCATATTATCTATTGTACATTTTGGGTTTTATTTACTCTTTCAGGTTCTTAAACTAGGGAGACAGTATGATGTTTACACATGTGGGTACAATTTATTTCACTTATGAGTATGGTCTCTAGTTGCATCCATTTACCTATAAAAGCCTCGAGTTTATCTTTTTCTATAACTGAGTAATACTCTGTTATATAAAAATACCACATCTTTTTTATCCATTCCTCAGTTGATGGGCATGCGTTTGGGTTGTTTCTAAGATCTAGCTATAACAAATTGTGCTGCTATAAACATGGGTGCACATATATTGCTATGGTATGATGTTTTTCATTCTTCTGGGAAAATACCCAGAAGGGGAATAGCTGGGTTAAGTGGGACATCTAATCCTAGTTTTGTGAGGGTTCCCCACACTGATTTCCGCAATGGTTTCACAGATCTACACTCCCACCAGCAGTGGAGAAGGGTTCCTTTTTCCCCACAACCTCTCCAGCATTTGTTATTGGTTGATTTCTTAATGATGGCCATTCTTTCTGGGGTGAGCTGGAATCTCAGTGTTGTTTTAATTTGTATTTCTTGAATGACTAATGATGTTGAACATTTGTTCATATATCTATTTGCCATTAGTGTTTCTTCATTTGAGAAGTGTGTATTCATCTCAGAAGCCCATTTTTGAAGTGGGTCTTTGAATATTGGGGGCCTGATTTTTAAAAAATTCTTTATATGTTCTAGGTAGAAGTCCTTTGTCGGAGGGACAGTTGGCTAAAATTTTTTCCCAATTCATGGGTTTTCTTTTTACTTTGTTGGTGATTTCTTTTGATGTGCAAAAACTTTTCAATAAGATGAGATCCAAGTTGTTGATTCTTTAAAGCATTTTCCATGCAGTTTGGTTTTTGTTCATGAACTCTCCGCCTACCCTATGTCTTCAAGATTTCTACCTGCTTTGTCTTCCAGTAGATTTAGTGTTTCTGTTTTAATATTTAGATCTTTGATTCATTTTGACTTTAGTTTAATGCATGGTGATAGACATGACATGGGTCTAGTTTTAGTCTTTGGCATGTGGAAAGCCAAGTTTTTCCAGCACCATTTATTAAAGAGGCTGTCTTTCTTCCAGTGAACATGTTTGGCCCCTTTATCAAAGATCAGGTGGCTGAGTATGTTTGTAGCTGTGTCTGCATCTTCTAATCTGTTCCATTGATCTCCAGGTCTGTTTTTTTTTGGGGGGGGGCGGTGGTGGTGGCATTTTTTAAGGGAAAAATGTCATGTAGGTTATGTAAAAATAAAGAATACTTAAATTTAAAAATGTAGAAAATCAATTGAACTTTGCCAAAATTTAAAACTTTTGCTTCAACTGACATTATTAAGAAAATGAAGACCAGGCACAAAAAAGAATAAAATGTTTACAAATCACATGATTGTAATTTAGGACCCAGAATGTTAAAAAAAAATCTCATCACTACATAATAAAATGATAAATACTCCAATTAAAATAAAGGATTTAAACAGACATTTCTGCAAAGAAGATACACAAATCAGAAATAGGTCATGAAAGGATTCACAACATACTTAGTCAGTAGGGAAATCAAAATCAAAATCACAGCAAGATACTACTTTTCAGGAAGGCTGAGATAAAGATACTAGAAAATAGCATGTGTTGGCAAGGCAATGGAGAAACCTAGGCACTCAAACATTGCTGGAGGGAATGTAAAAGGGTGCAGATGCCTTGGAAAGGTCCTTAAAAAGTTAAAATAGAGTCACCATATGACCAAGCAATTCTACTCCTTGTCCTACCTAACCAAAACAATGGAAGACTATATTAACAAGAGCTTGTACACAAATGTTCATAGCAGTATTATTCAAAAGAGCTAAAAAGTGAAAATAACCCAAAAGTCCACTAACTGGTAAACAGGTAAACAAAATGTAGTACATACAATGGGTTATTATTGGACCATAACTGGGATTGAAGTGCTACCATATTTCCCTCTAAAATAAGACCTAGCTGGACAATAATCAGCCTTGAAAATTAGAGATTAACAATGCCAGCCTCAATCACCTATCCTTGTCTTCTTTCCCACTATCACTATTCTCTTGCTCTGTGGCTACTCTGTAATGCAGGTCAGGCAAGGACGGGCTGACTGGGGCTGGTGTTTTTGACGTCTAGTTTTCAAGGCTGGTTATTTTCCAGTTAGGGCAGTGGACAAAGGTTGAGTTAGTACCTGTTCAACACCTGTCTCTCTTCTAAACGTTATACAACACTATCACACTCATTCGGTCTTCTAACGACCCCAGTGACTGGTCCAGGGAGTAAGTACTCCCATTCTTCAGCTAGAGGAAAAACTGGCTGGAGAAGTGATTTTTCCCTTTACTCTCTGGCCTTTGACTTGTGTTTATGAAATGTGCTCTGCTTCTCCCAGGCTGATGGCAATCAGAGACAGATAGGGAGTTAAATACATCTACTTTACCATAAGGCCGGAATACCCTTAGAGTTATCCCTTGGTACCCCAGGAGGACTGCTTCTGGTACCCCTCAGAACACCAAAATCCTGGGGTGTCCAACTCCCTTGTATAAAATGGTGTAGTATTTCCATAGAATCTATACACATCTTCCTGTATACACTAATCTCTGGGTTATAATACCTAATATGATGTAAATGCTCTGAGACTAGTGTGATACTATAATGACAAGGGAAAAAATCTATATGTTTGGGACACAGTTTTTTTCAAAGATGTTTGCTCCAAGGGGCTGGGGATTTAGCTCAGCGGCAAAAGCGCCTGCCTGGCAAGCGCAAGGTCGTGAGTTCAGTTCCCGGTACCGGAGAAAAACCAAAAACAAAACAAAACAAAACAAACAAACAAAAAAAAAAACCACAAAAAAAACAAAGATGTTTGCTCCATGCTGGGCTGAATCCCTGAATGTAAAACTTGCAGTTATGAAGGCTATTTTAAGAAGAAAAAAAATTTTGAAATTCACGTTTAAAATATGTGTATGTGTGTGTGTGTGTGTGTGTGTGTGTTATTCTTTAAAGCAGTTTTAGGTTCACAGCAAAACTGAGCAGAAACTATAAAACCCCTTGTCCACCAAAACACAAGCTTCCCACTCTCAGCCCAATCAATGTAGCTCCATTAGTTATAACTGCTAAACATGCATGGACTCATCTTTATTACCTGCCAGTTATATTAGAGTTTATTTCTGCTGTTGTATATTGTAGCAGTCTGTTTTTCATTATTAAAAATGCCTGGCACAGGCTAACATTATAAAAGAATGGAGTGCATTTTAGCTCAGTTCTGGAGATTAAAGGCCAAGACTGAGCCACACCATTTGTTTGGTTCCTGGTGAAGATGTAAAGGTGGATGATGTCATGTCATAATGGGAGCATGTGTGGGAGAAAAGATCATATCCCCCCTCAAAAGACAGAAAAAATAGCTCAAAACTGCAAGCCAGAGAGAGCTACACGGAGCCAGGCTCAGACTTGTTTATAATAAACCTCTGTCATGAACTCCTAAGAGGTTGCACAAGAACTAGTTTAATTCCTTTCAAGGGCTTGTACCGAGCTGACCAAAGGATCCCCCGCTAGATCTCACCTCTTAAAAGCTCTGCTTCCCAATGTCATCACACTGAAGACCTAGCCTGCAACCCACAGACCTTTCAGGGGAAAACGACACTGAAACCATTGTATATATCCTACGGGAGCTGGCATGTGTAGAAATGACATACATGTTCCATCATAGGGCGTAATCCTGCTGCCCTCCAAGTTCCTCTTCTTCACCTTGACACCTGGCAGCTACTGACCTTTTGACTATCTATCTCCATAGTTTCGTCTTTTCCGTAGTGTCATGTGGCTGGAATTATACAGTATGCGGCTTTTTCACATTGGTTTCTTTCCCTCACTACTATGCAATTTACATTTTCTCTGCGTCTTTCCATGGCTTGATAACTCATTTCTTTTTGGTGCTGAATAAAATTTCATCGATGTACCACATTATCCATTTATCCACTGAAAGAGATCTTGGCTGGTCCCAAGTTTTGGCCATCATTGGGTAAGCTGTTATAAACCTCCATGTGCATGTTTTTATGTGGACCTAAGTTTTCAATTCTTTTGGGTAAGTATTTCGTTATCAAGCCAGCTTCCTTTTCAGGCCAAATCTTTTGTTTCTGAAATGTTGTAATAGTTTGATGTTTAAAGGGATATTTGTTAGAATAGCTTGAATTTTCATCTTGTAGGATCTACTTCTTTAAAACTTTCCCCTGTAGTTTCAATTCTGCATGTCCTAGGCTTCCAGAAATAAGTATATTCAACTGAAATAATTTGATGACAGACACTGCACAGGGCTTGTTGTCCAAAGGGAAGTATTGTTTAGAGGAATAAACTAAACGTCTTAGGTTTAGAAAAAACGCAAATGCTGAATCACAAGGAAAGAGCATGTTTAGTTTTGTAGAAAATGGCTAAAACGTCATCTGCACTATTAAGCAGTAGTTAATAAAGTTTGTGTTGCTCTACTGCCTCAGACTTCTAGGCTGCTGTCTGCTGTCAGTGTTTTGAATTTTAGCCATTTGCATTGTTTATATTAACCATTTTTAAAAGCTTAACAATCCAGATGAGAAACTGTGGGATTTGAGAGTTGGACAAAAGTTTATTGCTCGGGTCTGGGTCCCTCTCCTTCCCACCTCTACTACCTGAAACATATATCATGGATTTTTTTAAAAATAGGAAATAAAGGACCAGTAGCAGGCCAGAGGTCAGAGCTCTTAACTGGTACTCCAATCCTCATTTAAACCATTTACTTTCTCATTGGGAAATTAAACTGGTGATGAGACACTTGAGGAGGGAATGATTATGTTCTCTCCAGGGGCCTTTCCACATTTTCTACATTAACAGTGGATTAATACATTCTCTAGAAGGCATAGGAACTGTCCTACAGAATCCAGGACTCTGCATGCCGGGCTTGGGATTGTAGCTGCACTCCAGGAATTTATATGAAAAGTATTAGATACTTCAACTATGGTAGTAGGGATAGAATTCAGGACCTTCACACTGATATCCCAACCCCTTTTTATTTCTTCCATTGGAGACAGGTTCTCATTAAACCACTATGTAGCCCAGGCTGGGCTTGAACTTGCAATCTTCCTGCCTCAGCCTCCTAGAATGCAGGAATTATAGATGTATACCACCAGGCCTGGCTGATATTTCTGTTTTTTAGACACATCATTCTAATTTTCTTACTTATGGGACGGTTGCTTTTTGAGTAGGAAATGAATCTTCATTCTTAGAGCTGTTTCTGAACTGTGGGTCTCCCAACCCTTTCATGAGTTTGTTGGACATGTTCAACATTCCTCGATATTGACAATGGGAAGAGTTTGTGGTAGGGAGCATAAGAGTGAAAATAAGCTTGCAGAATGATATTTTCATCTCTTAAAAGTAGAAGCTGGGGGGTTTTCGTTTATACAAGACCACCCTGGAACTGTCATTCCTCACCAGTGCCATAAATTACACATCTCCAAGCACACATCATACCCAGTAAGAAAAGGGCACGGATTTACTGTTTCTCTCCCGTATCTACCATTCTCTCAATTCTGCTTTAATAGGCTTTATGGAGGTGGGGAGTCCCTAGTGTAGCCAATCAGGAGATGTAGATCAGACAAGACTAGTGTGTATCCACACTCACGAGCACTTTGTTCGCTAGGGCCGCTGTGCCTGGGAACGTGCTGTTGCCAATCCCAGGAACACCTCTGCCGTCTTAGCCCTCCTAATCTGCATTTGTGCTCTGAGCTCCGTTTCTGCCCCCTTGGAACTCTGTACGTATTACAACCCCCGTGAAACCAGGCAGAGGTATACATAAAGTTACTGGGACAGCCAACCAGGTCTTTGTCATCATTTTTGTACACACCACCCCTCAGTACAGGTGATTCAGTCCATGGCCTCATGCTTGCGAGGCAAGTGCTCTACCACTGAGCTGTATCTCTAGCCCTTTAAAATTGTTTTTAAATTTTATTTCATTTCATTTAAAAATTTTTTTGCAGTACCGGGGATCGAACTCATGACCTGGCACTTGCCAGGCAGGCGCTTATGCCACTGAGCTATATCCCCAGCCCTGTTTTTAAATTTTAAGCAAGCCCTCTCTAAATTGCCATGGCTGGCCTCAAACTTGATCCTCCTGCTTCCTGAGGATCTGGGATTACTGCATGAGCTATCACTCCTAGACCCTAGCTCAGGCCCTGGCACACAAAAGGCTATCAAAAGTTTGGGAGACAGCACAGTATATTTGTTTAAAAGCAAAAGTTCTGGAATCAGATGAATTTCCATATTCAACTCCTACATTGGTTAACTGACCTTATCCTGTTGGTTAATCTGAGGTTCTATTTTCTCATTTATTAAATAGGAATAAAAAGATCAGCCTGAGAGGTAGGTGAGAAAGAGCAAATGGAAAGGGTGGAACCCCTAACACACAGCTGGTGCTAATGGACAGTGGTTATTATTTACGGGTACAAGTAGAGTGAGAATGGGAGAGGCACACATTCCCCGGACTGTCATCACCCCATTACACACAGGAGACAGGGAAGCGGGGGACTCTTACCAGCTACACCAACGAAGCATACATCAAGGTTAGGTGTACAGGTGCTGGTGTTAAGACATATATCAGTACTGTTGAAGCAAGAGAAGCACGTCAGGCTGAAACCTAGAATTAGGAAGAAAGTGTTAAAGTAGCACTGAGTGACACTTTAGTAGTAGAACAGAGCTCTTCACCTGCAGTAGTTTGGGATGGGGTCAACTACAGTTCCACTAGTGTATTTAGGGGCCTAGAGCAAATGCAAAGGGACTATCCACTTTCCAAAGTCCAAGCAACTGCAACTGAGAAGCTCTTCCCAACTTTCAACTGGCACATGACTGATATGAAATGGAATGACTTATTAAGCCAAAACATTGAGAGAATAAACAGAGTCCTGCAACTGTCTTCCAGGCCAGGACAAGCTCAATGAAATCACACCCTCATGGACTGATAATTCCTTATTTGTGTGAAGAGACATTTGGAAAGATAAAATACGTAAAATCTCTTTACCAATCAATATTCACAGACAAACATTTGCAACTGATTTGGTGTTAGGAACACGAAGTTTTAACCCAAATGAAGCAAAACATTATCTCCCCTTAAAAAAGATACTAGTCTCCACTAGCAAATGTATATTATATATTTATAGTTCACTTTTATATTGTGAATCTTGACAATCAAAATTATGCAGAAGCCAGGTGTTATGGTATATGTCTATAATCCTAGCACATCTATAATCCTAGCTGAAGAAGGAGAATTGTAGATTAGAGGGCAGCCTGGGAGATTCTGTGAGACCCTGCCTCAAGATAAAAAATAAAAATGGGCTGGGGCGGGGACTATAGCTCAGTGGTAGAGTGCTTGTCCAGCATCACATATGTGAAGCCCTAGGTCCGATTCCCAGTACTGAAAAAAAAAAAAAAAAAAGGTACAAATTTGTTTCTGTCTTGTTATTTACATAAGAACTTACATAATATCACTGATTTTTGTCTCTTGGCCTGAAAAGCCTAAAATACTGTGTAGCCCTTTACTTGAAAAGTTTGATGACCTCTGGGATAGGCTATCTTCCCTGAACTTTTCCCTGTTTAGGGACTGACCCAGGGCCAGCCATCTGCGCAGTGAAGGGCAGGGCAGCAGCTGTGCTGTAAGCCCTAATGGGCGGGACAGCTCGGTCACAGCAGAGTCACTGAATATGAGGAACAAATATGAGGAGATGTTTTCAGAAGTCCAGGACAGAGCAGGTCCTCTCTGCCTGAGCACAGTCAGGAATCACACAATTTATGGGATTTTAGTGGCCAAACATGCCTTTACAGGTGTGAAATCCCACTCACACCAGACTCTTTGATTTGGAAAGGTTCCAGGTTGACCCCTTGAAATATCACTCAAAAAACTTCTTTTCTTCTCCAAGAAGACAGATGCCTGGAAAGGTAAAATGACTTACCTGAGGCTACCTAGCTACAAAATGACAGCACCCAAGCCTGTGGGCACACTGCTCTGCTTTTTCTCCCCTGGTGCCAGCATTTGTCAACAGCTAGCCAAGAGGGGAGCCGCAGCGAGGAAGTATGAAGATGCCATTTCTCTCCATCCCCTTTCCTGTGCCAGATGTGTGTCCTTAGGCATGAGAAGAAAAGAATGGAAGGCAGAAGGTGTTGGGCAAGTCTGACTATCTGAGGGCTATTTTAAAAGATCACCTATAGGACTGACTTTACTGGCTAAAGCCAGAGCTGCCTTGACTTCTTGACAATCCTTGGAGGGATCAGTCCAGCAGTAAATTCTGCCAACACAAACTGCTCCCTCCCTGACAATCAGCCAGTTTTTCTTTTTGTTGTTGTTGTTGTTTCTTTCTTTTTTCTTTTCCTCCTGTTCCTTCTGTGCATCCAGCACTAACTAGAACTGCCAGGAACAAGATTAAAGACTACACGGTGGCATAGGAAGTGGAACAGCTAACCCCTCCCCCATGACTTGTGGTTAGAGAGGCATGAGGAATTAAACAGCCTTGCACAGAGGGACTGCGCAGTCCCAGGCTGGCCCCCACTCTGTTGCTGTAGAAGGCTGGAGCAGAAAGGGACCGCACAGCACCCCTATCTCACCTGAGGAAGTTACAGACTACAGCCGAGGCAGGTGATGGTGGCAGCAGAATTCATAAAGCAACCAATGGGAAGTTAGCATCCCACCTCGAGAGGGGAGTAAGAATTGGGACTAAGTAGCCTTGGACTACCACAGCAGGAGCAGAGGTCCTGACCATATCACAGCATTCCACCCCACCGTGCAACAAATGACCTGTGAGGACGGAGACTTGCCAGTGGAAGAGGAACACAGAAGGCTCAGCAAGAACCAGAAGGAGCCAAAAGTGCATGAGATTGGGAAGAGCCCCCTGACTCTGACTGAAAACAGCACAGCAGCTGAGAGACAGAGATGCCACCAAGAGAAATAGCATAAAGAGTGAGAAGCTGCTAAGGGACACACAGAAAGTACTGGCTGAAGACTCTGGCCCCAGACCCCCACATCTGGAGGCCAATATCAGCCTCATATCCAGCACAAACTCTACTGTAGGCTTGGAAGTGTTATCCAGTAGTTTTGGACTTCTGGTGGGCACCAGAGGAATTTTATTTTTTTAATTGTCTTTTTTTGCTGGTTTGTGGTTTGTTTCCTGTTCCTTTTCCCTTTTTTGTCTTTTACCTCTATTTTTGTTCTAATCTGTTTGTCTTCTCTCCCATTTTCCTCAATTTACCTCTCTAGACTTAATCATATTTTCATATGAGTGAATACTATCTTTAATTTTTCTGGGCAAATTCAATAATTCTTGCTCACTTCTTCATTCTTTCTCTTCCATCCTCTTGTCTAGATTCCCAAAGCTTGTGTGCTCATCCTTCATCCTCCAGCCTGGCTTCTACTTTATTTTTCAATTATCTCTGTTCTCTCCACTGTCCTTCTTAAATTTCCCAACTACAGGGTAAAACCACTCTATCAAGGGGAAACACTGCATATAAGGGCCTAATTTATGACCAGTTCTGTTGTATAACTGCAAATTTTGCTTCTATGGTTAAGGGTATAAAATTAGTATTTACAGTTTTTAAACTGTGCATGAGGCTATTGTCAGTGCTAATTATACTACATTAGCTAGGATGGCATATCTGTTTTAATCAGTTATTCTCACTTCTGTAACAATATTGGGAAGTTCTGGGGTAGTAACCTTACCACACCCCAGCACCAAAGAACTGGAGACTGAGCTGAATGCATACCAACATCTCATTCTTAATTAATGGGAATGGTAGAATCTTGGGACATACACAAATCAAAAACTTCCTGCATGCAGAAGACATCCTGAAGCAGAAACCTCACCTAGAGAGACCTTGATACTAGTGATAAAGATACTTATTACAATAACTTACAAAGATGAACACAGGAAACAAAGTAAAAACTTTAAAAATAGAAAATGACAATTTACAGAAGCAAAATACAACCTCAGATCTCCAGCCCACCCAGAACAAGTCCAGTAGATAAAACAGAGGAAAATGGCAGACATAACCTAACATTTCAGAAGTGATAGCAACTGAAGTAAAGAAACAAATCCATGAGGCTATTGAGGAAATAATCTCTCAGATAAAAAATAAATGTCAACATTTATAAATGAATTGCTCAGCAAATCTAGAGTAGAGATAGATAAAAAGAAAAAAGATGATAGTCGGCCATGGTGGCACACTCCTATAATTCCAGCACTTGGGAGGCTGAGGCAGGAGCATCATTGCAAGTTTGAGACCAGCCTGGGCTACAAAGTGAGTTCAAGACCAGCCTGAACTGCATAGCAAGATTCTGGCTAAAAAGACTGAAAAAAAAAAAAAAAAAGATGATGACAGGAAGAGGATAGAAACCATGAATGATCAATATAGGAAAGAAATAGGATTCATGAAACCAATTCAAACAGATATCCAAGAAACTAAAAATTCCACTGAAAGCTGGAAAAACTGCTTGAATGAAAATGAAGACAGACTTTCAGACCTTGAAGACAGGATCTCAGCCAGTGATCATGAAAGGAAAGCTCTCCTGAAAATAACAAGAGATCAGGAAATGACAATTCAACAGCTGCAAGATGATGCAAATAAAAATAATATAAGAGTAATTGGCATCAATGAAAAAAGAGTCAACACAAATGACATTAAAAAAAAAACTATTCACAGAAGTCATAGCAGAAAATTTCCCAAGCATGGAAAAAGAATCTCACACACAATTAAGTGAAGCATATAGAACTCCAATTAGCCATAAGCAAAATAAATCTGTAATAATCAAGATCCCAGAAATTCAGCACAAGAACAGATATTAAAAGCTGTTAGAGAAAAGAAACAGATCACTATAAAAGAAAGCCCATCAGAATCATGGTAGACTTCTCATCACAAACCATGAGGTCAAGAAGAGCTTGGAGTGAGCTATTCAAAGTCCTGAAAGAAAACAACTTCCAAACTAGATTTGATGGAAACTGCAAAACTATCTTTCAAAATGAAGGGAGAAATAAGATACTTCCATGACAAAGAACAACTGCAGAAATTCATGAGCACCAAATCAATCCTACAAAGTGTACTGAAAGATATTTGAAAGAGATAAAAATGACCACAATTCCAAGAACAACAACAGAAAGAAACCACCAAGCACAACAAGCAATTAAACAGAAGGAAAAAGTAGGAAACCAATAGCAAGAAAATCACATGACAAAAATAAGCCAATATATATCAGTTATAACCACTAATGTGAATGGCTTCAACTCACCAATCAAAAGAAACAGGCTGGCAGAATGGATAAAGAAACAAGATCCAACAATCAACTGTATGCAAGAAACACATTTAACTCAAAAAGAAATTCAGAATCTAAAAGAAAAAGGATGGAAAATAATATTCCATGCAATAGGAACCCAGAAAAAAGCAGGGGTAGCTATTCTGTTTGCAAACAATATGAACTTCAAATCAAGAATGATCAAAAGAGATAAAGAAGGTCATTACATACTTGTTAGGGGAAAACTTTGAGAGGAGGAGATAACAATCAACTATGTATGCACCAAACATGGAGGCACCCAACTATATAAGACAAATATTAACAGACATGAGAAATCAAATGAGCAATAACACAATTCTTGTTGGGAA